CGCCCCGCCCCCCGCCGCTGTCCGCTGGGCTCCGTTTGACTCCTGCGCGCCCCGCCCCCCCACTTCCCCGCGGCTGTCCCGCGCCGACCCGACCGTGTCCTCCGACGCCGCCCCGCGGCAGCCCCTGTCCCCATCCCCGGACCTCTGCAGGTCCAGGCTCAGCGGGCTCCTACACTCCAGCTCCTCAGCTGCCTGGCGCTGGGTGCGGAGGCTCAGGCGGCGTGGGGGTCCAGGTGGCAGCGAGCCGCAGCCCCCCACCTTCCGTCTCCGCCCCACCTAAGCCCCTTCCTCCCTCAGCTGTCTCGGTTCCCGAACCGTCCCCCAACTGGGGCCTCGTGTGCCACCATCACCCCCCAATCCTCCCACCGCGGCAGATCCTACAGGAGGGGGTAGGGTGAGGGCGGCCGGGGCTGCGCACGGGGACTGGGAATCGGGAGGGAAGGGAATCCCGAAGGGAGGCGAGCAGCCGCAGGCGGGTGATGCTGAGGAGAGAAGGGCCCGGGAACAAGGCGAACCATGAGCAGGCCTGTGGCCGGAGAGGCCAGCTGGGACGGCAACGGGGCTGTCCCAGGGGACAGCGCTCCAGCTGCGGGAGAGTCCACCCCGGACTCCCACAGAGGGCCCCAGCCAAGTGACAAGTGACTCGAGAGCGTGGATGGAGCGCACTGGCTGAGGCTGCCCACCCATGTCCGCACCTCAGGCCCCAGTGTGGAGCCCGGGTCAAGGGAGCCCCAGCAGCAGCCTGTGGCAGAGGACGGTCGGAGGCACACATGGGCCACCGCCTGATGTCCCCGTGTGTGTCCGTGTGTCTGGGTGTTTGTGGTTGTTTTTTTCCTGGCTTTGATAGGGAGGATGAAGTCAGCATCTTGGACAGTGCAGGGCTCAGCTTCCTTCCTCTGCCTTGGCCCGACACCCCCAGCGCGGGGTAGGAAGCAGCCTCGCTGGGTCGCGAGCAGGAAGGTGCACCAGCCCCACACGGAGACAGCAGCATGTGCAGAGCAGGGCGCGGCCCCCAGCAGCAGACACGCTCTGGAGTTGTATGCACCTCCCCGAGCCGGGTCTTGGTCTCGTTGTTTCACACGTGTGGTCACCATGAGTACCTTTGGCCCGGAGTGACCTGGAGGCCCTGGAAGAAGGCTGGCCCTGGGTGTTCTGGAAGGCCACAGCTGGACTGGATGCTGGGGTGTGGCATAGGAACATGGGGCTCCAGATGATTTGGGGAGCCACTGGAAGCTCGGCACAGTTCCAGGTTCTGAAACAACCACTACCTGAAAGTTGACTCACTGGCTGCAGTCTCCTGGAGGACTCACGGGTCGCTCTGAGACAGGAGCTTACTTAGGCTGGGCCTTGAACCCACTCTGTAGTCTAGGCTGGGCTCAAACTCAGTGCAATCCTCCCACTCCAGCCTCCTAAGTGTTGGGTTTACAGGTGTGCCGCCATGCCCAGCAGGACCTCAGCTTATGTATGCTTGCATCACCTCAGAAAAGCACCAAGCCCCATACACCAGGTGCCAGATAAATGGCTGTCAATAATGAATTGTGGGAAAAGGGATTGACGGGAGGGGAGAGGAATGAAAAGAAAAAACAAAAACAAAAACAAGATATATCATGTGGAGGTACAAATTCCCTAGGATGGATGCCATCATTATGTATACCTTCTCATTATGTATATGTAAAATGTGCCAATAAAATAAAAAGTAAAAATAATAATGAATTGTGAAAGGGTTAGGGCAGGAAGGGGAACCACAGGATAGAGGGCAGGGAAGCTCACTGGTCCCAGCTAGAGCTGGCTTCCCCGAAGTATCCTGGCAGCAGGCAGAGGTTGTTGTCTAGAACTGTCCATGGGACTTGGGCTGCTCCAGAACTCTCCATCTAGCACCTTCCGCTCTCAGCATCCACTGACCCAACAAGTGCCTGTCTGGATCTCAGGAGGTTACAACATAAAAGATATGAAGAAGGGCCGGCCAGATAGCTCAGTGGACTAATGTGCCTGCTTAGGCAGACGCAGGGACCAGGTTTGATCCCTGGCACCACGTGCCGTGCTGGCCCCGGGGGCACACTGAGCCAGCGACTGAGCTTGGGCGTGGTGGCACGCGCCTGTAATTCCAGCACTTGGGAAGCTGAAAAACAGGAGGATCACCATGAGTTCAATCTGTGTAGTGAGACCCCGTACTAAATACATAAAAATATATATATTATATATATAAAAGCAGGAGGCTTGCCACAAGTTTGAGACCAGCTTGAGCTACATAGCAAGCACAAGTCTAACCTGAACTGTATAGCAAGACTCTAAAAATGAAAAAAAAAATGAAGGAAAGAAAAGCGGAAAGAGAGAGGAGACGGGGGGCAATTGAGGGCAAGGACCTGAAGAGAGAGCCAGGGAGGCCAGGGGCTGTGATCTGAGGAAGCAGTCCCAGAGAGGGGAGTGCTAGGAAACATTTGTACTGGCTTCCGTTTACACAGTGGCTTCCTCCATGCAGCGTTTTATTAATCCCACTTCGTAGGGAGCGAGCAAACAGGCCCGCAGATGTTGGGTGGGTTGTCCAAGGACGGTGCTCTGGCAGAGGTGGGTTTCTGTTTCCACAGCGGGGTTCCTCTCCCCTCCTTCAGCAGCTCTGGGAGAGGACATGATTGAAGACTTCAGGCAGAGGCTGAGGAAGGGGCTTCTCAAGGACTTGCTGAAGAGCAGAGAGCTGGCCTTTGCAGCTTCTGTCTGCTGCCAGCTATGGTGCGGATTTGTGAGAAGAGACTACCTAATGCGCGGGAAGCACCAACATTCACGGTGGAGAAGGCCAGGGTGCAGAGAGTGGACAGAGAAGACCCGGAGGAGAGAGGCTGAGGGAACTAACAGAACTAACAGGCCCGGCCTGGACAGACCAAGAAAGCGTGGAGAGCAGGGTCTGGACCTTCAGCGCCCCATTGCCCCGAGACATGGGTGTGGGGAGAAGGGAGGAGGGAGGACATTTCTATCTCGTGACAAAAGAAAGTCACACAATTGTTTTGTTCTCTGTTCTGGGACGGGTGGGCGCTTGTATTTACCAGAGGGACCGAGGTCGCTGTGGCAACCACACATCTGGGCCCCGGAATCCAGATGTGCTGTATCGAGAAGCCATAGCAGACCGATGAGGCAAATGTTAGGTTCCCCAGCCCGGGCCCCCACAGCTGGGGAGAGGACAGAGGACTGGAGCAGGAAAGCAAAGGGAAAAGGGGGAGGAAGAGAAGACTGGATTGGGGGAGGAGAGGAAGGACAGAAAGGCACAGGAATGTGGACGAGGGGTAGAAAGGGAAGCAGAGGGCGTTGGCGTGAGAAAGCGAGGCAGCGGCAAGAGGTCAGCAGCAGGAGAGATCACGGAAAATACCAGGGGACACTGGAGGCAGAGGGAAAGGGGAGAAACAGAGAGAGGAAAGAAAGGAAGCCAGGAGCTCAGGGTCAAAAGGATGGCGATGAGCAACAGGCAGAGGAAGTCAGGCAGGACAAGATGGGGGAGGGCACAGCGGGGGACAGCTGGGGAGGTGAAGAAAGCAGGGCAGAGGAAATGGTGTAGGACCCAAGCAGCCAAGGAGGAGCAGGAGGGCCCTGCACCTCCTGGGATGCAGAGCCGACTGGGCCTGAGGGTGGAGTCCAGGACCCCCTCCATGCATGCCCCTCCACCTCCCACAACCCCACTCCTGGTTCCTGCCCCACCCTGAGCCCCGGTACCAGACACGAGCAATTCATGTACTTTGCTGAGCTCACCTCAGGAAGGAGCAGGGAGACAGAGCTGGATGTAGATGGGGTATGGGGGAGAGAAGACAAGAAAAGGGGGGCACAAGGGGATGAGGTCTACCACACAGCAGGCAGGGCACACAGCCACTGGTCCTCACCTAACGGAGCAGGGCACTGATGCCTACTGTTTGCACAAAGGCAGAGCAGGGGGCCAGCTCAGGTGAGCCACTCCCAAGACCTGGTTCTCGTGGCAATGGTGGCCAGGGCAGGCTGGACAAGGCCTGCAGGAACCTGGGACAGTAAGCTTGGCTTTGGACCAGAGCTGCCCTCTGGAGGGAAGCAAGGCCCAAGTTCCTGGGAGCCCCAGTTCCAGGTTACCATAGTGACTGGTCTGTTTTCCCCCCAAACACAGTATGGGGCGGGTGCTAGGCAGGGAGAGCCTGGCTGGACACGTGAGGCTCTTCTTCCCTCCCTCAGGCCTGGGCTCCCAGCCCGGGCAGCCCCTGTCCAGTCATCGGGCGCGGAGCCCAGGCCCAGCTCACACCCTCCACTGACCTGGGCCACTCCTGCAGGGTCAGACCTGAGGCAGCAGCTGGCGGGGATCCCCATCGGCTGGGGCTCAACTCTTCTCTGCCCTGTTCACCTTTGGGTGCAGCACTAGGGTCTTCTCCACCTAGGCCACACCCGCCTGCTCTCATCTGGGTCTGCCCGGTCAGTGGGGTCTCCACCTCCTGCACTTAGGACCTGTGCACCTGGATGTCCCGACGCGACCCTGCTCCCCGACAGCCCCTAGTACCTCCTTCTGCCTCTGCCTGCCCTCAGTCTCAAGAACAGGGAGGCAGGGACAGCCTGCTGGGAGCAGGGGACAGAGCTACGCAGCCTGAAGGGTGCGGGCCCCATGCCTCCAGTTTACTCAGATCTGTCCCAGGATCTGTAGCCTCTGTTGTCCATCACAGATGCTCCGCTAGACAGACATGCCCCAGCCAGGCCAGGCAAGGGGATGACATGAGGTCTGGTCCCTGCCCGCCTGCCCCACCCACAGCGGCTTTAGCTGTGTCTTCAGCGCTTGGATCTTTGATGCTGGGCCTATACAACTCACAAGTGGGAAGGCAGCCACCATCCTTGACACCTTCCAAGGAGTCATTTAACAATGAAAAACACGCTCACACACACAGCCTTTATCTCCTTCCACTACCTTCCTTTATTCCTATTAACTCCAAAATATAAAAACTTCCCTTGTTCCACCTGGGGACCCATGGCCCAGTGCCACCCCCGAGGAACAGAAGGACAGAGCAAGTGAAAGCCTCCCCCACCCCAAACTGAACCTGGCTCAGTAACCACAATGGGGGCAGGGCTTGGGGGCCACAGCAAGATCTATATTCCAGATGGGGTTGAAGGAGCAGTGACCCACCCTACCTCCAATAAGCACTTAATCCCAAACCCTGTCTTCCCTTTACCAACTGTTCAAAACAGTCCTGTGGTCCCACTGCACCCTGGCTGTCCCAGTCCGTGAGTGGCAGAGGTCAGGGGTGATTGAGGTAGAGGGGCTGGTGGGAGCCCTGGTGGGCCTGGCTGGCTGCAGAAGCTGGCAGGGGGCCACCTGTGGCATTGCCTGGGGCTGGGGATGGCTGCTTTCGGAGCGAGGGGGGCACTGTGGAGGTCTTGATGTGAATCACCCTGGTGTCCATGACCTCACACTCAATCTGCATCATCTCCTCATAGTCTCCTGGGGCCTCTCGGCCTGACAGGGTCTCTGCGGAGGGACAGTTAGGAAGGGGAGGGGGGAGGCACATGGGTGTGGTCAGAAGAGTCTTGGTGTGCAGGGGAAGTAAGTGGGGGCAGGGATGGACAGTGGCACAGGGGAGGGGCAGGAAATAGAGGGGGTGCTGAGGAGCTGGGGAAGGGTCACTGGGAGGATCTGGGAGGAAAAAGGAGGCTGATCCAGCAGGGTTCCAGACCACCCTCTGCTGGCCCCTGCAGCACCTTCACCAGAGGGCCACACCTTCCTCCGCCCGCCAGTCGGCACCACTCCTCCTTCTCTACTCATTTCCTGCCACCCTTACCTCAGTCCACCATTTCTCAGGTACCCCATCTCCCCTCCCCTGGCGCCCCACCCACAGGAAAGTTACCATTGGGGGCCATGGCAGGCATCACCAGGGACATCTTGGGCCGGGAGGTCTTATTGTGGCTGATGGCTGGAAGCAGCAAGTGGTCCTGGGAGGATGAGGCAAAGGCGTTGAGGGACCCCCCCAACTTGGTGTCCACCCCCTCTGGGTCAGCCCTGCTGGGGGCTCAGTGGGCAGGGAGGCACTTACCCTCCGGAAGGAGACAACATAAAAGGTGTCCTCCCGCCGGTCAATAGCATCCAGGAACTCAGGTTGCGAGCGGTCGGGGCGCTGGTACAGCTGCAGCTGGCCCACAGGACCCCTGGGCAGGGAGAAAGATGGGGGTGGGGTGGGGGTGGAGGGGTGGTAAATGCCAGGCCCCACCCCCCCCAAGGCAGAGGCCGGCAGGACTTGGGGATGAGGGGGCCACAATGCTGGGGCAGGCTCTCGCATGCTGAGTGGGCACCCTAGCCCTACACTCTCACCTTTCCGGGGGCCCTGGAGGCTGGGTGGGGACAGCCTTAACTGGGAGCAGCTTCTTGCGTGGCTGAGGCTTCTGGAAGGAGAGGCATCTAAGGATGCGGAGAGGGTGAAGGGAGACGGAAAGAGACAGGCAGGCCCTGGCAGCTACACCCCACACCCGCTTTCCCAATTCCTGAGGCCAGCTCAAAGCCCAGGACCTCAGACCTGAGCCTGGCCTACCTGTCTCTCCGGGGTCCTCTGGGGGCTCTTCCGCCGGTCTCTCTGGTGGCGCTGCACCCAGCCGCTCAGCTCGTCAGCAAGCCTGGCAAGCACAGGGGACAAAGTCTGGGCTGGGCTGGGCTCAGATGCACACTTCCCCACCATGTGCAGGAGAGGCCAGGCGTGCCAGGGCTCAGGGCACAGCCGCCTCAGTGCACCGTGGGGAAGACACCCTACCTCAGGGACTCGGTTCGGTTGAAGTGCCGGCAGTCGGAGGAGAGAAAGAGCTGGTCCAGGTCTCTCAGAAGCAGCTCCCTGGCAGCCCCAGGGAAGGCTGTGAGGTTCCTGGAGCAGGGAGGCCGAAGCACTGTGAGAGGGGCACAGCTTGCCCTCCGTGTGCCAACGGGGTCTCCAAGAAGCTGCCCTTGCCTTACCTGAAGCTGGGCTGTGCTACCATTGCCGGGCTGGGCTGCAGCTCCTCTGGGCCCTGGGGAGACCCCTGCAAGGGCTCTGACCCCTGAACCGGTGGCCACTCCGAGAACTCCAGCAAGTGCCTCTGTGCCCGAGGCTCCTGGCTGCCTGTCTGCGAGGCAGGAGCTCGAGGCAGCTCACTGATGCTGCGCAGAGAGGGCAGAACGGTGAGCGCCACCCGATGGTCCACACGGAAACCGTCTCCCCCCCCCCCCATGAGTCAGGATAGAACCGGTTCCCACCGCACAAGTCCGGGAACCAGAAAAGACCAGCCTGTAACCTGCAATCTCAACTCTGCTGGTCCTGACTGGCGGGTCACTTTCATCAACACTGCCACCATCACTGACCCTCACGTGCCATCCGTGAGCAGCTGAGCTCCAGGGCACTGCAGCTGCCTGCTGCTGCAGCGGGAAGCCATGGGCCGCGCAGCCAGGCAGGCTGCCAGGCAGGCGGGGCAGCTCACCTGACAGGCCCGAAGTTGAAGGCAATGAAAAGGAGGAAGACCATGATGCAGACCACCTTCCGGTTTCCAGACCCCAACTTGAGTTCACTGTTCTGAGGTGGCCACGAGGGGAGACAGGGAGGCAGGCTCAGCCTACCCTCCCGGGCAGCCCCCACCCCGCCTCCTCCCAGAGGCGCCGACCGACCTCTGCCAGCAGGGCCTCCAGCCGCCGCCGGAGGGCGGCATTCTCCCGGCGCAGCTGCTGGTTGTCGGCCAGCACCGCCTGCAGCCGCGCCTCCAGCCCCTGTAGATACTCCTTCTTCTTCCTCCGAGACTGGCAGGCCGACTCCCGGTTTTTGATCATCCGCTGCTGCCGTTTCAGCAGCTTCGCCTGGTGGGCGGGCCACAGGGTGAACGGAGATGGGGTGGAGGGGTCCCCAGGACCCGGTAACAGGGGCGGACAACTGGAAGCCCGAGGGACAGGAGCCCCTCCCTCGCATGCCCGCTGGAGGACAGAGGTCGGGCAGGGGGCGCCCTGTCCCAGAGAACCTTCTCCCCAGGGCCTGCCTCCCAGCTGGCTTCCCTGAGCCAGGTCCGACCTCGCCCTAGAAAGGGGCGGCTTAGCTGGCTTCCCCTCAGAAGCAGCAGCTCTGCCACCCTCGCATAATGGCCGGGCCGCCGGTTCCCTGAGCACACCTCCGTCTACCAGAGGGGAAAGGAAACCTCAGGCCCCTGAGACTTCAGCAGCCCCACCCTGGGCTCACCTTTCGGTCCACCTCCCACTTCTGCGCCCCCGGGTGCCCTCCCCAGCCCGCAGGGTCTCCTGCCCTGCCCTACGCACGTCCACTTCCGGCGGGCCGGGGTTCCCGGGCGTGGGCGCTGGGACGATGCTCTTCCTTTCCGGTCGAGCACCTGGGCCTGCAGGCGCCGCCCCTTCAGGTGGGACTCGGATAGCACCCTGGATGAGGACGACCGGGGACCCTGCGGCCAAGGAGCAGGACCAAAGCGAGTGGGCGGCCTTCCAGGGCAAGCGCGGGTGGGAGGCGCCCCGCACCCCCTGGCCGGCTCCCCCACCTGTGGGCGGCTGCACGAGCGGCTGCAGCAGGACAGCGGTGCTGGGCGGCACCTGGACGGCGGCGAGCACCACGGGTTTGGGCTGCAGGGGCGGCTTCCGCGCAGGCGGGGCTCTGCCTGGGGGCGAGAGGCGGCAGAGGCAGTTGAGGCCCGGGTTCTCGCCGGGACCCCGGCCGCAGGATGCCCCCTCACCTGCGGAGCTCTCTGGGGCTGGAGCCATGCTGATCTGGACAGCTCCGAGGGATGGGCCCGGGCCATCCCAGAGGAGGCACCCTGGAGGGGACGGGGACTCGGTCTTCACTTCCAGCACCTCCTCGTCTGCACAAGCCTGTGTGGGGTGTCCAGAGAGATGTCTGGCCCAGGAGGACAGTGTCTCGGGACATCGCACAGGCAGCTCGGGCTCGCGGGCCGTCGCTCACCTGGCCGGGGGACTCCACCGAAAGCAGGGACGACTCGGAGTGGGCAGAGGGGGACGGAGAGGCAGGTTCCACCTTGGTCTGGACATCTGTGGGGTAACAGGGAGAGAGTACAGCTGATGTCTGGAAACCCCCAAAGGAGGAGAGGAGGTTCCGAGGCAAGGGCGCGGGCTCGTCCTTGCACAGGGGCTTCCCCAGCCCGCCTGTCCGGAGGGAGGCTCACTGCTCCGCCCTCTTCACAAGGTCCCTTCCCAGGTCTGGCCCCAGTTGCTTCTAAGGGTCATCTCTAAGCAGGACGGCAGGGCTTCAGCCCCATCACCCTCATTTGTGTGAAATAAACCAGCCCGGGCAGATGCAGCTCGAGGGCAACAGTCCCTGTACTCTTTTTGGAACTTAATTACAGGAAGGCTAACATTACTATTTTGACTTTGATTTCTACTGTGAATAGGTAACAGCCATAAGATACAACTACCAAAGGAAATACAATCAGATAACACAAATTCCAAAGAAACAGGGAAAGCCAATGAAAAGCAAATCTTCCCTCTGTCACAACGCCCAGGGCACCTCAGAAGTGACGGCTACTAGAACCAGTTAAGGGGCTGACGTAGCTCAGTGGTCTAAAGCCGGCACCACATGCAACACTAGCTCCACCCCCAGGGTGGGCCGAGCTGGCCACAAATAAAATAAAATGTGTGTTAAAAAAAAAAAAAAAAGAAAAGGAACCATTTAACCAGGAAGTGTTGGAATCCACAAACAGGATCTCTTATCAGTCATGAGTAGGTAGAGGCTCTCAAAACAAAAGTGAGTATTCAAGTAGTCAGAGGATCTGATTTTAATAAGACCATTCTTCCCAAATACAAATAGCTTTTGCTGCTAAGGTGTTTTGATTTTTATTTTGTGTGTCTTCTTTGTAAATTTATTTTTGTTTTTAAATCTTTTTTTTTTTTTTTTGAGGCTTGAACACGCCCTCTGGGCATTTCTGGTTTGGCTGGAGTATCTGGGTTCAAACCAGTGGAAATTGAGCGGCAGTGCTTTTTTAAGCAGGCACTTAAACAGCTGAGCTAATGGGCGGGACCCCTTTAAATCTTTTTTTTTTTTTTTAAATGTATTTACTTGGTACAGAGTGTTGCTATGCAGCTGGGATTCAGCAGTCCTCCTGTCTCACCTTCCTCAGGGCTGGGATTACAGGCGTGCACCATCACGCCTCTTCCAGGACCAGCACAGTTCTGGGTCCTTGAACTTGCCAGGCAGGCACTTAGACTGCTGAGCTATATTCCCAGCCCATTCTTTGTAAGATTTCACAATCTGTATATGTAAAAGATTTTTTTTTTTTTTTTTTTTTTTTTTTGGTATTAGGGATTGAACTCAGGACTTTGAGCTTATGCTGCAGGCAGAAGCTTATGCCGCTGGGCTTTTCCTTAAAAGAATCTGTGTGATCTGCTGCCCACCCTTCCCTGCTTTGCTGAGGCCCGGGAAGAATCTAAATAGATCCCCCAGAACTCCCACCTAGATCGGGAGACTGACAGAGCCCTGCCATCCCCAGGAGCCCTGCTCCCACCTGGCCCCCCCAGACCAGCCTCTCCTGCTCCTCCCTCTCAGTGCCTGGGGCTCCCTGCACCTCAGCCCTCTCCACCTGCATTCCTCCTCTGATCAGCCTTCTCTTCTGAGACCAGCCCTTGGCAAGAGCCTGAGACTCCTCCAGTACAGCCCAGCGGCCCTGCAACCCACTCTCCGCATCACAGTCGGCCTCCTCCTCGCCGCTCCCAACTCCTCAGACTCCCACCACCCACAGGATAAGCTTAGAGCCCTTCCTCAGGGCGCACCAGCCCTCCAACCTCCAAAAGCCTGCACCATCTCCTCACCTCTATTCTGGGTCCTCACAAGCAAGTGGACCCCACATCCTCCTTCTGGATAAGATCTAAGTGTTTTTCAAAGTCTGTTTTGGTCCCCAACACATGGAAATGCTAACATATAAGCAGATGGAGATGCTAGTTGATGTGATTTGACCCATACACATTACATATGCATGTTAAATTATAACACTCTATCCTGGGGCCTGGCAGATAGTTCAGTGGTCTAAGCACCTGCCTGGTAAGTGAAAGATCTGGGTTTGATCCCTGGTACCAAATGCTGTGCTGGCCTGGAACCTGGGGCAAGTAGTGCTAACCACTGAAACTGGGCATGGTGTCGCACCCCTGTAATCCCAGTTCTGGGGAGGCTGAGACAGGAAGATCACTATGAGTTCAAGTTGCATAGTGAGACCCTGCACCAAATAAATAAAAGGTTAAAAAATAATAAATTATAATACTCTATCCTACAAAAAAGCACAAAGAGTATATATCAATTAAAAACAAGATAAACCGGGACCCATGCTTGTAACCCAGCACTAAAGAGGCTGAGGCATGAGGACTGCAGTGAGTTCAAGGCCAACCTGGGCTACAGAGTGAGTTCAAAGCCAGGCTGAATTACATAGGGAGACTCTTGGGAAAAAATAAAAGGTTAGGTGAGTAATATAAATATTCCTTAACCATGGATGCCAACCCTTTAGCTTGGCTGGGCCACAGTGAGTGAAGAGGAGTATCCTTGGACCACATCTAAGTAACAAAACTTGTATGAGACAAAGTTTTGGTATATAGTTCAGGCTCACCTTGAATTACAATTCTCCTGTATCAGCCTCTCCACTACTGGGATTACAGGGTGAGCTACCAACCTCAGCTATTTTTAAAAAATATTTTGAATTTTTTTTTTTTTTTTTTTAAAGGGAGCAAGTGGTGCTGGGGAGATAGCTGTGACATAAGCGCCTGCCTGGCAAGCATGAGGTCCCGAGTTCGATTCCCAGTACTGCAAAAAAATACTACATAAATAAACAGAAAACGGGCCAGGGAGATGGCTCAGTAGAATAAGTGTCTCCCTGACAAGGGCAAGGGCCTGAGTTCAATTCCTGGTTCCACCAAAAAAAAAAAAAAAAAAAAAAAAAAAGAAAGAAAGAAACCAAGTGGTCACAGGCTTCTGGTTAGACACACAATGATACCTCACTGGCTGAATGGCTCCAAGTTCAAGCCATTCCAAGCCAGCTACCGCTGTCCCCGCCCCTTGCCTCTGGGTGTTCCCTCAATGCTCTTAGCTAAGTGTCCTGAGGGGCCCGAAGCATTTACTTTGAAAAATTAGTGTTCAAAGCAGGCCCAAGCCGCAACTGGATACCGCAGCTAGGAATAACGGAATAGGACCGCGGTTCTAGTTTGTTGGTTTTCAGAACTGAGGCCATGATTAAGAAGGACAGCCGGGGACATTCATATTGCACTGCTAGAGGTGAAATTCTTGGACCAGCGCAAGATGGCCCAGAGCAAAGGCCCGGAGCGAAAGCATTCGCCACGAATGTTTTTAAACAAAAAAAAAAAAAAAAAAAAAGAAAATGCATGGCTTCAAGCTCAACCTTTCTACTACTCAAACAGAAAACTTCCAAAAAAAATAGGCTTGGTATTCATAACTCTGCTCGACAGTTAAACTGAAAATCCAACATGAAAAAAACCCGCCCAACATCCAGGCCAAGCGCGAGTCACAGAATCACTGCAAGGCGTCAGTCTCAGCCAGCTCACACAGATAACCCACAGTGGTGGCGTCTGTGCATTAGAACTTTCGCCATTAGGGGCTGGGAGACGGCTCAGCAGAATAAACGCTTGCCTGGCAAGCGCACAAGCATGAGTTCAATCCCCGGTTCCGCCACAAAAGAAAAAAACCAACAACTTTTGTCACTGGGCTTTTTTTTTCCAATCTACTTACATAAAATATCATAGCCATGGCTCTACAGAAAGTTAGTGATACCAGAAGCTAAAAAAACCAACAAACTGGCCAGGTGTGACAGTGCACACCTATAACCCTAGCAGTTGGAAGCTGAGGCAGGAGCATCACCCAGTGTGAGGCCAGCCTAGGCTACACAGTGAGCTCAAGTTCAGCCTAAACTACGCAGTGAGACCTTTATCTCAAAAAATAAAGAGGAAAAGGAAAACCGTGAGAACCACAATAGTTAAAAGAAATCATTATTAAATTTGTTAAAGTCATGGAAAAAACAAATTTATAAATGTAGTTTTTGGTCTTCTAAACAAATTATCTGAGCCAGGTGTGGTGGCACAGGGCTATAATCCCAGCATTTGGGGGGCTGAGGCTGATCACTGTGAGTTCATGCCGGGCCTGGGCTACAAGGTGAGCTCAACTAAACTGCACAGTAAGACCCTGTCTGGGGAAAAAAAAAAAAAAAAAAAAAAAAAATCTGGTCATCCATTATGTCTCATGGGAAAAGTATGTTCAATTCTCGAGCTTCTTGGTGTTTGAACATGTTTGGAAGGAACTGAATTCAACAACCGAGGTAACGCTTTACTTAAACTGTCTGTAGTTTACTTTAAAAATACAAATTAATGGGGCCGGGGAGATAACTCAGTAGAATAAGTACTTGCCTGGCAAGCTCGAGGGCCTGAGTTCAATCCCTGGTTCCGCCAAAACAAAAACAAAAAAAATTAATGGTGAGCTGCATGGCACACAGGATGCTAGGAAGAGTCATCTCTGTGTGTTCCGTGCTACCCTTGGCTCGGTTTCTGAAAACTCCCTGTCCTTCAGGGCTTCGCTCTAGTCACTGCTCTCCCTGCACCGTCCTCCCTGCACCGTCCTCGCTTCCTGATGCCTGCACCCCCGTTCCACCTCCACGCAAGCAGGCAAAGCCCAGGCCTGTGCTGAGCTCCAGTACCTGATGGGTCATCAGAGGAGGAGCCCACAGTGATCTGGACGATTTCAAATGGCGATGCTGGGTCCTCCCCCAGGAGGCAGAGTGGGGGTGCCAAGGTCTCTGTCTTCACATGCAGCACCTCCCCTACCCCAGGGGCCTGGAGACCGGGTGCAAGGACATGGAAAGAAAACAAGGACGTCCTGAGAGCAAGCATGTGCCAAAGCTTTAGAGCTTGCAAACCACCAAGTATTTGACCTTGAGGGCTGAGCGGTATAGAACATCACTGTGTCTCTAGCCCGTTGTTCTTTCTTTCTGCTCTATTCCATGAGCTCTCCCGACTGCTTCCAGCTTACAACTTCAGTTAAGAAGAGCAGCGGAGTCCTCAGCAGTTAACAACTCTCTCCTCAGCGCCACCACGCGGCCACACCGTCCTGCATGTTAAGGACTCCACACCACCCGCAGTGGATGTGTGGGAGAGGAGGCTGGCGAGGAAGTGGGCAAGGCCGACCGGTGGACGCTGTGTGCCACCCTCGCGACGCAGAGCATACAAGTAGCTCCCTTAGCACCTGTGGACGCAGGCAGTGGGGCAGGGAGCAGGAAGCAGGTGGCTCACTGACCTGGCTGGAGGGCTCTGCGGAGGACAGCTGTGATGATTCGGAGCTGACGGAGGAAGAGGAGCAGGGGGAGGACGGCTCCGACTTCACCTGAACATCTGGAGGAGAAGGGGATAGAAAACCATCAAAAGCAGAGCCTGGGGACAGTCTACGAGGTGTTGGAGGACGCGACGTGGAAGTGTTCGGACAGTTTCTGGGGAACAGTGGGAAGGCGAGGGTGAGGGGAGGATGAGGGAGTCAGAAAGGATATTCTACCTGGAAAGATAGGCAGAGAGTCCCAAGGGGGCTCTGGGGGGCTGGCGTCCATTCCCACATCCATGGAGCTGCTGTCGAACTGCAGAGGAAGACGCGAGGGCGCAGGGCTGAGACAGCAGAGACGCCGAGGGCGCTCCGGCCTGGCCATTCTCTAAACACTCCCTCCCTCCCACAGCGATCCCACCCGCGGTACCGGGACATCTTGTTCCAAGCAACGGAAGAGCTGCGGCGGCTCCTCGGCCACTTCGTCCAGGCCAGCGTACAAGGTGCTGTCTGCGAGCGGTGCGGGCGTCAGCAGGTCGCGGGCGCCGGCGGCCAGCCCTCGTTGGCTCCGCGCGGCCGGACCCACCGCCCGCCCACCTGAGAAGCGACGCGGCCAGAGACCCGCGCGCGGCCCTCCTCCCCGACCCCAGGGCGGCTCCGCGCTGCCAAATGCCCCGAAAGCACGACCAGCCCTACTCGGCCCTCGCTCCGACGGCTGGTTCCATGTTTGCCCAGCCTTCCTCTTTGGGCTTCCGCTTTCTTCCCGCGTGCCTCAGGGACACAGTTCGCCACAGCCCGCCCCCCGACCCGAGGCCTCCCTCGCGCACCCCAGTCCTCCGAACTCAGCAGGTTGTCGGTGAAGAAACGCGTCGGATCCGCGATCTCACTGAGGAGCATCAGCTCGGCCATCTTTCCCCCCCACCCCCCGACCCTGAGACGGTTCCCAAGGCCCGCCTCTCCTCATCATTAACTAATCAGTGGACGCTTTAGAAAGAGCGGGACGTCCCGGAAGTCCTACGGACCAGTAAGAGACGTGGGTGCTGAGCACATGGTCCAAAAAAATGACTGCACAGGCGGGGCCAGTGGGAGCCCCGGGAGGGAGCGGCGGTTACAGGATCTCCGGCTGCAAAGATAGCGCATGCGCCCAACTCGGGTTGCACAGTGGCGCATGCGTCAAAATGGCCCCAGAGACAAGGAGCCTGGGAAATGTAGTTCCAAGCATTTAAAGGTCCGGCGGGTGCCCCAGCCAGTCCTAAATTTGTAAGTTTAGACAACTCTCCACATTTTCGGAGATAGACAAGGTCCCCCAAAATAGGCGCACTGAGACCGCTCGCTACTTCCCCCAGGGAAGCAAAAACTGGGAATGGAATATGGAGTGAAACCCTCCCTCTGAGCCCTTAAAAATCTGACAGCACAGACCACAATTTACAGGTTCCTGACTCTTTTTTTAAGGTTTAAATTTTAATCAGCCAAACATCTTGCGTAGACCCTGAGCCAGCCCTGCATCCTGTTTCTTCCCTTCAATGACCACCTTTCCCAGCTCCTCCTGGGCTGCGCGGTTTTTGGGATCTACCGCCAGCACCTTCTTGAGATCAGCAGTTGCTTTGTCCAGGTTCCCAAGGGCAGCCTGGGCAATCCCTCTTCGGTATAAGGCCTTTAAGTGGTCAGGTTCCCGTTCCAGTACCCGATCACAGTTTTGGGCTGCCAGCCTGGGCTGCCCTAGCAGCAACTGACAGGCAGCGAGATTGGCATGAAGGACAGTTCGTTCTGGAGGGCCAGGTGGAGGTAAAGTCAGCAGTAGTCGAAGAGCCCGTCCGTAGCATCGGGCAGCCCCTGCAGGGTTCCCAGCTCGAAAGAGTTCCGTGCCCCTTGCACGTTCTTCCCTGGCTAAGGCCTCCTTTTCGCTGCTCTTCAGCTCCCAGGAGTCCCGGCCCTGAGTGAAGGAGTCCAGAGTGAGCCGGACAGGAGGTCCAGAATGCCCGGGGAGCTGAAGTTCCGCTTCCTCCCCCTGACACATGGACTCCAGGCATTTCTCTATTAGCTCCCCCCAGTTTTCATCCCTCCATGGCCCTACTCCGACAGTTAGTTCCGTCCAGCCCTCGGGCAACTCTGACCCAAAAGGAAATCCAAAGGCCAGAATTCGGCAGCGAGAGCCTAGCTTGGGTTTGTCCAAGCCGTGACCCCGGCTTATGATCTTCTTGACGAAGCTCCCATCGGGACAGTACCAGACATCGGAAGCTTGAGGGGTCGCTGGCATCTCACAAGCTGATTCGTGAGATTTATCAGAGTCCCCTCCAAGTCCTGCCACCGAGTTTGCAGTATCATGAGGATTCTCTATATTTCGACGGGCTGGGTCAGGGCTCACTCCCAGTTCAAATGTTTCAGTAGGAGGGTCTCCGGGCTGCTGCCGAAACTGAGTGGTTGAATCAAGGTTCTCCTGCGATTCCTTTTCCCATTGTTGCTGCGGTTGAGAGATGTCCTTCTGTCTCAGTGGGCTGACTGGTGGCGTCTCCATTTGGCTACCTAATCTCTTTCGCCGTGGATGATCAGAAAAGGATTTGGTCAGAAAAAGGATGGGTTAAACTCAGGCCAGCACCTGAAAAGAAAACCAAAAACAATGCTAATTAATATTCTTAGCTCTCACCCCGCCTCCAAAAATCTGTTTCTCAAGCCCCGGTTCCACCCAGATCTAATCTGAAACTCTAAATTGCACAAATCGCTGTAGTTTTGGTAATCACCCCAAGTATGGACCTGATCGGGTCAAAAACTACCTGAGCGGCCAAAGAGCCTAGTATGGTGGCAAGAGCCGGAGTATTCGAATCACCTCTGCTTCCGAAGCTACGTGCTTACGGCATATTGTCTTCCGAGTACTGTCACGGAGGCGGAAGACTGCTCCCAGACAAGAGCAGCTGGTGGACAAATACTGGCAACTAACCCTGGAGCCCGCGAGACAGCGAAGCTGGTCGAATTCTTGATGGCCAATCAGAAAGAGGCAGGACTCGTTTAGCCCGCCTACGGGGCGTGACATCATTTCCTCCGCAACAGCGAAGCTCCGGGCCTTAGCAACCGAGCTAAGCCTTAGCGTTCAAACGAGGCCGCTTGAACTGGTCCAAGCCGGCCAGTTCCTCAGCGTTGGAGAAGTCCTGGAGAGGGAAACCCGGGCGAAAGAGGAGAGAGCGGAGGCGGGCGGCGCCAGCGTGCCTTTTATCAGCCGACCTCAGTGCCTTCTCCGCCGTTATCCCTAGTTCTGAGATCCTGGGAGAGGTCAGCCCCTTCACGCATTCGGTCCTTACCTCTGTTAACCCCCGCCGGCCCCGTTCTGTTGGGCGACTCCTGAGGCTTCTCACCTCTCTCCTCACGCCCATCATTGGCTTTCAAGTCCCCCTTCCCGGTCCCAGTGCTTTTCCCTCTCAAATGTGCATACAGGGCCGTGGAGATAGCTCAGTAGAATAAGCGCCTGCCTAGCAAGTGCAAGGTCCTGAGTTCAATCCCCAGTACCAAAAATAAATAAATAAGTAATTTAAAAAACCAAATGTGCATACGGCACCTGAGGAAGCTGTCAAACTGCAGATTCGGATTTTGGAAACTCGAGGCGGAGCCTGTAACTCTTCGTGTGGAGTGGGTCCTGCCTGAGGAGGCTAGTGCCGCTGGGCATGATCTCGAATAACCTCCTTCCCCGGCCTTTCCCTCTCCCTGCCTGTGCCGCCTCCCTTTGGCCTACATTTCTCCTTACAGCTGGTATAACCTGCTCCACTGATTGTCCAAGCGGAAAACTAGTCCCCCTCCTAATGGGAAGCAGAGTTTCTGTCATTCTGCCTTGCCTGGTCAGCTACCTGCATAGGCTGGGCCAGCAAGCTCTTCAGAGAAAAAGAAAACCCTTTCTCACTTTGACTTTCCTTCAGTTTGCTTTCTTACTGTGCCACTGCGCAGGACAGCCAGGGCTGAGGGCAGTTTCGTCGCTAAACGGAGACCTGACTCAAAACCATCTTCGTACGAGCTGTGGCACACACCTGTAATCCCAGCACTCGGGAGGAGGAGAATTATGGCACGTTGGAGACCAGCCTGGCTGTATAATGAGTTCAAGAGCGACCTAGAGGGCTGGTGAGATGGCTCAGTGGTCTAAAGCACCTACTTAGAACAAGCTTAGCAAAGCACAGGGACCGCGGTTCAATCCCCAGCACCACGTGCCAGCCAGCCCCGCCCCCTGCACCCCCTGGTGGGCTGAGCTGGCCACACACACACACACACACACACACACACAAATAAATAAATAAATAAATAAAAGAGCGGCCTAGACTGCAGAGCAGTATTGGAGCCAACACAGGAAAAAAGGAAAGAAAGAAAGAGTGAGCAAGGCCCTGTATCAAAACAACAACAAAAACTCTCCCTCTGTATTGTATTAAACTTCAGTCACTAACCTAGGCTTTTCTTTTAAGTCTTATTTCTGGGATCTAAGCCACAGTAACCGTACTCCATCGTCCCACGCCAGTCCCATAGCCAGCTACCCTGCTTCTTGGGATCTCTGGGATCCTGTCGAATCCATCTCTCCGCCCTCCCACTTCCCTTTTCCATCTCAGGGAAAGGTCGACAGTCTAGAATGAATCACATCAAGCTCGGTCACATCCTAATACCTGGACAAAGACTGCTGGCGGCTGTATGTGTGTGCGCGCTGGAGTCAGGCCATGGCTCTTCAAAGAGAAAAATCATTGGTTGCAGCCGGACGAACAGAAGCGTGAGGTGCTATGAATGCCAGCGATGAAGGTGCTAGAAGGTCACCGTAGGCTGAGACTTTTTTGCTTCCATCTAAAAAATGAGTTGTAGCCGAGAACACACTTGTAGGCCCTGTACTGAGAAACCTGAATCAGTCCCTCTGTCTGTTTAGGTGACCCTTTACTGTGTCCATGAATACACCGCTCACACAGGCACCGAACTTCTAAAAACAAAGTAATCGTAACAAAAGTACCTCCATGTTTTAAAAGATGAAGTGAAGTGTGGTGGTGCACTCCTATAATCCCAGCACTCTTGAGAAACTAAGGCAGGAAGATCCACAAGTTTGACCCTGGCCTGTGCAACTTAGTGACTTATGAGACCTTTTCTCAAAAAAAGAAAAAACATTTCTAAAGGGCTACTTGATGGATGTGGTAGTGCACACCTTTAATCCCAGCACTGGGGAGGCTGAGGCAGGAGGATCGATGCAAGTTCTAAAGTTCTAGGCCAGCCTGGGCTACAAAGTGAGATCAAGGCCTGAGCCACATAGCAAGACCCTGTCTCAAAGCAACAACAACAACAAAATGGGAGTAGCGGGGACTGCTGGCTGTGGTGGCACAAACCTGTAATCCAGCACTAGTGAGGCTGAGGCAGGAGGATCACTATATGTGGGTTTTTGTTTTTTTTTCCCCCAGAACCAGGGATTGAACTCAGGCCCTTGTGCTTGCCAGGGAAGTGCTTATTCCACTGAGCCGTCTCCCCGGCCCCTTCACTATACTTTTAAGGCCAGGCTGGGCTACATAAGTGAATTCAAGCCAGCCTGGCCTAAATAGTGAGACTCTGCCAATAAATAAATAAAATTTTACAAGGGCTGGTAGGAGGATCACTGAAAGTTTGAGGCCAGCCTGGGCTACATAGTGAATTCAAGGTCAGCCAGAACTATATAGTGAGACCCTGTCTTAAACAAAAAACCAGGGTTAGAGATACAGTTCAGTGTAAAAGTCTTAGATTCAGTCCTAGTACTGATCTGGGCATGGTGATATACACCTATAATCCCAAGATTTGGGAGGCTGAGGCTGAGGCAGGAGGATTGCTATGAGTTTGAGGCCAACCTGGACCACAGGGTGAGTAATATATATATATATATATATATATATTCATTCCCCCAGCCAAGTGTTGGTACATACCTATAATCTCTCCTACTTGTGACACTGAGGTAGGGGTATTGTAAGTTCTAGGTAAACCTGGGTAACTTAGTGGAACCATACCCAAAATTAAGTTTAGGAAGTGTAATGGATAGCTAACTGGTGGTCAACTTCTTACACCTAGCTGAACTGAACTAGGGTGGTGCTGGGTGTGGGAGGCCCTCCTGAGCGTTGTTGCCAGCAGCATGAGGGACAGAGCTGGAGAGGCTGTTAGGGACGCTGTTTGGAGAAGCTGTTGGAGGCTGCTGGTTCTCTTGGGCTATTCTGCTGCGGGACCTCACCATGCTGGCTTTCCTGGTGAGTTGGGCTGTTTTTGCCAGAGGAGGATCACAGGACCTTGGGCCGAGCATGGCTGTGGTTCACTTTGGGGAGCTCGGGTCCTCACCTGGAGCATCGCTTCCTGGCTCCGGAGGGGAAGCTGATGCAGGGCTCAGTTTCCTGGAGAAGCTTGTGGCGCTGGCTGCCTGCCTGATGCGAACTCGGCTGTGCTCATTGCTGGAGGAGCTTGGAACCTCGCTGTCGTTGAGCATGGCTGTGAGACTTCTGCAGGGCTCGTGAGACATTGTTCGTACTCAGCATTGCTTCCTGGCTCCAGTTCAGACCCCTCAGCCTGCTAGCACAGGCCCTCCATCCCGCTGGCATAGACTTCCCAGCTGTCCTACTGACCTCTGGGCCTTCCCAGAGATGCATCAGGGGGGCCTGCATGAGACGCTGTTGTGGGCCCTAGGCGGCCTGTTGGACTCGAGGGAGGCATTGTTAGGGGCTCGAGGTCTTCAGCTGGACTCGTGCAGGATATTAGGATCCAGGCCCTCAGCTGGACTCTTTGGTCTTTAGTCTGTGGACAGATTTCCTGTACTCTTGTGTATGATTTTTTGGGTGATTATAAAATATTATAAAATGTGTGTCCTGTGTTGTATTGTTCTCCTTGCAAAAATCTCAAACTATGGCAGAAAGTTAGCAGGGTGTGATGACAAACACTTGTCCCAGGATTCAGGAGGCTGAGGCAGAAGGATCACTGAATTCCAGGCCAATCCAGGCTACCCAGTGAGTCCAAGGCCGGCCTGAATCACATTGTGAAGCTCTGTCTCAAAACAAAAAATTAGAGGCCGGGGAGATGACTCTGTCGAATAAGCACTTCCCTGGCAAGTGCAAGGGCCTGAGTTCAATCCCTGGTTCCACCAAAAAAAATAAAATTTTTAAAAATTAAAAAATAACAACTCCCGGGCTGGAGAGATGGCTCAGTGGTCTAAAGCACCTACTTGAAACAAGCTTGGCAAAGCACAGGGACCGCGGTTTGATCCCCCAGCACCACATGCCAGCCAGCCGCGCCCCCTGGTGGGCTGAGCTGGCCACACACACATACAATAAATAAATGTAATAAATAAAAATAAATAATTTAAAAAAAAATAATAACAACTCCCTTCTCTACTGAAAAATAAAGCCGAGCTGGCCAGAGAGCTCCACAGAGGCACAGTGACGGGCGTTCCATCCCCAGTGTGCCGTGCAGGCCCCACCCCCAGGACATGCTGAGGCAGCCATTGACACAGGTTGTGGTGGCTGGTGCCTGTAATCCTAGCGCTTGGGAGGCTGCAAACAGGAGGCTCACTCTGAGTCCAATCTACGTAGTGAGACCTCGTAGACCCTGTACTAAATACATAAAAATCCTTTTTTCGCTCGGGCCCTCGCACCGGCAGAATGGGCAAGTGTCGCGGCCTCCGTACTGCCAGGAAGCTCCGCAGTCACCGGCGGGACCAGAAGTGGCACGACAAGCAGTACAGGAAGGCCCATCTGGGCACAGCCCTGAAGGCCA